TAATAAAATAATCTAATAAGGATATATGTGAGAAGTTTTTATTTTATTAAATAGTTATTTGTTAATAAACTCATAAAAATATGAGTATAATTTAGAATAAAAATCATAATATAAGAAAAGTATACGAGATTGTTAGAATTTTGAGAAGTTGGTTTTAATTATTAATTAAAATCTTGCAAATATTCAAAAAATAATTTAATTTTTCTAATGTCAACACCATTCTATACTGTGAAAGTAAAATTCATGAAATTAATTAAAGGATGTACCAGCTTAAGATTTCATTCGTGCTTATGCAGAATACTTGAAAAAAAATAACAAGATAAAGATTCCTGATTGGGCTTCAATTGTAAAGACAGGACTTGGAAAAGAAATCTCACCAATTGACTAAGATTGGATGTATGTTAGAGCTGCAGCACTTGCTCGTAAAATTTATGTTAGAGGTCATTGGGTAATAAATAATTATTAAATTAACTTCAGGGTGTTGGAAATTTGACTCATATGTTTGGTTCAATGAATGATAATGGAAAGCATGAATCTGGATCAGGAAAAGTGATTAGATATTTACTTTAATAATTAGAAACTATTAAGGTTTTAAAGAAAGATAATAAATCTCTCTTAAAGAAGGGTTCAAGAATTGTTACCAAAGAAGGATAATAAGATTTAAATAGAATTGCAACTCAAGTTGCTTTAGCTGCCAGAAAATGATTTATAATATATCACAGAAGTACATTATCCAACATACAGATTATATTATAGTCATAAATATATATTTATTATATTTAATCAAATTTCATACATTTCACTCAAAAGTTTATCCATGTAATTTTCTATAACTATCTATAATTTCTATTCTCTAGTCTAAAAAATAGCAGAGGGTAGTTGATAACTCTAATTACTAACAGGAGATTTATTTATTATTTCACTATCATCAGAGGTTATTTATTCTATAGATTTCTTATTTAAAATGTTAGTTTTATTAATTTTTGCTACCTTTAACTAATAGTAGATATAAAATTTTATTATATTTCTTTTTCTTTATTTTCCTTATTCAAATGCATATTAAATATCTTTATCGTCAATGATTACAATTTTATCACAATCGCTATCATAGAAACTAATGTTTGGTTATAATATTTTACTATAACACAATGTCTTTCAATAGTATCCTTAATCTTTTTAATTCTGATTTAAGATCTCTTATAGTTAAATTTTGAATATAAATTTGGAATGTTTGACTTTAAGTTTATATTTTTAAATCCATATTAATATTCTTGAATATGAAATAAATTCTCAATTTTATTCAATATTATCGACTTTATTTTAAGATTCTAGTGAGTGATTATTACAAAGAGGCTAATTCATGATTATGTCTATAAAATGTGTAATTGAATTCTTACTCAACAGTAAACGTTCCAATCTAAGATGGAGAAATAGCATTCAATTTAGCACTCAATAATCTAAGATCACTTTAATTTTCACCAAAACCTAATCTGCTCTGATTGTTACCCAAGAAAACAGCAGATTTATTTGATAAATGATGAGATTAGTAATTTTAGTATGATAGTTCATTATTGAGGCGAGTGAATTTTGTGTTTTATATTTAGAGCTCTAGTCCTAACTTTGAATCCCAATTCTTGAATCTATCTATTCTAACTTTAGCTCTCTAAGGAGATTCATTATAATTTAAACTTGATCTCATAGGAGATGTGCTTTTATGAATGCTACTAAATACAATATGAGAAGGTGTTAAAGCACTATTATTATTAAAAATAATACTGATATTCCCCAACTACTATTCCTTATAATCCTTTACTTTATTTTGGTGAAGAGTCTCTAAATAATCTCATTTTAACTGGAGACATATTATTTGACTCTCTCGTCTTTGTAGTTAAATTAGAATCTCCAATTTTACTGATAGCAGTTGATAATAACCCTATTTAACTTGTTTTTGGTTTGATAACTTTGCTAGATTCAACACTCACTTTAGATTGAGTTAACATAATTTTATTTATATGTAATAAAATTTATATTTTCCCCCTTTTATATGGGCTAAATTTTTTATTACAATTATTAATTTTATAGAGTCATTTCAATAAATTATTCTTTTTCAGAAATAATCCAATTGTTTATTTAAATTTTATTGTTATTCCAAATATAAAACTTCTAATAGATTTTCTAATTGTAAAAACTCTGTTTAATTAGATAATATATCTGAATGAGAATTTATTGATTTGTAAAAACATTAATAACAAAAGTAATTTGTTTTACTTTTCATAGATTACTATTAATGTTTATGAGTTGTTTTATAATCAAATATAAGAAATAAAATTAAATATTATAAAATTTGGATTTAATATTTGGTTTTTTTTATTTTTCCATTATAAAATCAAGTTTTCTTTAATGATCTCTATTATTAATCAACAAATTGGAATTGTTTATGTTTTACTTTTAGAATATTATTTAAAAAAATTTCATTTTTCATAATTTATTAAATTCAAGAAATGAGAATTAACCCTTAAACTTTGCTAGAAATTATCTAAAATTATCAGGAACGGCTGAAAATTAATAAGTAATAGTCGTAATTGAATATTTTAAAGTTTTTTCCTGATTGAATAATGATAAAATAATAAAAATTTAAAATAATCTTTCCTGGACTGTAACGTAAAACTTTACACAAAAAGAAAAGAATAGTAAAAGTTTTGTTTTATGAATTAATTTCTAATATTTAAAAAAAAAAAAAGTAAACTTGAATTTTTGTTTAAAAAAAAGTAAGAAAAAGTATGGATTTTAATAAAACAATTAATTGCTTATTTTTATTTTTTGAATCGATATTGATATAAGTACTCTTCTTGAAATTTAATTCTATTAATAAAACAAAAATTTACTTTTATTAAGATGAGCAGTTATGAATAATTCTTGCTATTGATTAAGTTAATAACAAACACATAGCTCTATTATGACAGAATTGTGAATGATAAAAAATTACTATCAAAACATATATTAGAATTCAAATAAAAAATATATCACTTAATATTCTCGTTGATTAAATTTAAATCTTAAGAGTTTCAAAAAGAAGTTTTCGAATTGATTTTATAATAGAAGTAAAAGATTATGATGCCATTTAAAAAATGATTTAAGATACTTCTAATGCATAGACATTCTTAAATGGTTATTGTAATGGGAAGGTAGAGTTTTCAATTATTTTTGGGAAGCAAATTAATTTGCAAAAGAAAGAGTCACGCTAACTAAAGATGATTTTAATCCTTAATTAAATATGACTTGGGATACTGAGAAAGAATAGAGAGGATCTCATTATCATAGATATGATTATTATTTTCCAAGAAATTTTGAGGGGTTTGGGTTAAATACAAAAAATTATGGACCTAATTAAGATTGGATCTAAATGGATGTTAATCCTGAAGAATGGATAATTATGTAACATGGTAATTCAATAGTGAGAAATAATTTTATAGGTAGTCCAAATAATGATTATTCGTTCGAAAAATTTACAAATGAATTTAATAGAGGTTTATTATTAGGAAATGGAATGTATTTCAGATGATTATAATGTCTGTTTTAAAGATGATTATGCTAAGTTTGTGGAATCTGCAGTAAAAAATTTGTGCCAATCTTTATGTAGAGAGTAAATCCAAAAGAAATTAGATATAAAAATTATATGAAAGGTATTTTGTTGTTCAAAATTCAAAAGATGTTGGAACATATTGAATTTTATTGTATGAAAATAAAATGAGGTTTTATTAATTATAAATTTATTATTTTATTCAAATTAAATTGAATATTAAATAATGTTATTATAATGGTAATTAAATAATTTTCTGTTTTTGATTTATTACACTAAAACCTTTTTATTTATTTATAAATTACTGATATTGCAAGGTTTAAAATATTTGAGATTACTCTCTCTCTCTATTATGAAAAATTATTTAAACCATAAAATAATCAATCAGATTAAATAAAAAATATAGAATGACATATTAATACTTGATAAGATTAAATGAATATTCTTTAAATTCAAATAGTAGATGACACTTGATTTGCTGATATAATGAAATTTAAATTAATATTATTTTATGCAAAATATTCAATCTTATAAATAAATATAATAACAAAAGATATGTCTTTTTGTGCAAATCAATAGTAATCTTTAATTTTTATATAATCTAATGAATGCAACTTTAAATCCAATGAACAAGAAAATTAAAATTCAAATAGTATCATCAGCTATGAATAATAAAAATAATTACCCAAGAACATGCATAAATCTAACATATATTTAATTAAACAATTATCATGTAGTCTGTTTCAATGATATTAATAATAATTAAAACATAACATAACATTCTGCTTATTTATATTTTATATCAATAATTTTTTTTCTATTAAGAAGAATTGAAGATCTAATTTGCAATATTAGAGAATTGAGTAGTTTAAATTATAAAGTTAAATGATTATTTTTTGTTAATTGAATATATTTTTATTTGTATTATGGAAATCATTTTCTTCCAAGGCTGGTTTATGATGCTAAGGATCTAACTTAGTCTTTGAACAATTAGATGACAACATCGATGATGGCATTTTCCTCTATAGATTATTGTGATAATTGGTACCGGCTCTTCTGGCAGTTTCTGAGGCATAGAATTCTCTTTTTTCTTCTAAATCAGCGGTAGCTCCAGCAACAGCGTTCAATGAATCTTTCCAGAGTTTTAAGGCTTTGGCTTATTAAGCAAGGACAGCTGGGAGTTGCTATAATATAAAATATAAAAATAGAGTACAGTTTCTAATTTTTCAACAAGTCCTGTTCTTCTTTCTTATTCAGAGGTCAACCAAGCAACTTCAGCATTAGTATCTGAAACATATTTGGCAAGAGCAAATGCAGCATGGATTTCTTATTCTTATAAGGTAGCAAGAGTTGATTCTAATTCAGCTTATAAATCAACTAAGATTGATAAGACTTATTCTCCGGTTGTGCCTTCTCTCTTAACTTCAGCAAGTGATTAGAATTTTTAGATGGCATCTTATTAGAAAAGATGACTGTATGCTGATAATTTATCGGCAATAGTTTAAGCTTTTTCAACAAGTTCAACTCCAGCATTGTTTGTAAGGAATCCAGCAACATCTTATTATAAGAGTTAAACAACTCCGATGGCATCAGCATGATCAGCAAGGGATCTAACAAAAAGTCCATTGGCCCAACATCTTTAGTCTTGGAGTTAATTATTTCTTCTAACAATTTCAGCAAGTCTAGCTTCAGCCCAGGCCAACCATGAATATCCATCCTTAATTAATTAATGATTTTGCTTACCCTGACTTAAGCTTCAACATCAGCTCTGACAGCACCAAGTGCTTCCCATTATTACTTATTAAGTGAAGCAACATTTGTCAAATCACCAATAACTTATGAAAAGATTTCTACAATTAAATATATTATATACCTTCATCTGTATTGTTCTTTCTATCAGCAGCAGCTTATACTTAAACATTTTCTGTTTTCAAATCTCTTAGGAGATTGTAAACGGATTCAACGGCATCATTTCCTCTTGTGCCTGCTTAGAGAAGCACAGCAAATTTGTTTGTGTCAAGTGCAAACACAGCTGCTACGAGGCAAATCACAACAAATGTTTTCATATTTATTTTTAATAATACCAAAAACGGAATAAAATTTCTTCGTTTTAATATTGGTATATATTATTATTTTTATATTTCTTCACATACACATACTCATCCAATATTTATTCCTATTCCATTCATTCTATTCTTCTCACCTTTATTAATCAGCAATCAAAACATTTATTTAATAACTCATATTCTAAATAAGCAATTCTTTTAAAAGATACTGTTAGTCTTAATATTTCAATCTAACTTATTTATATCACAAATCTCTCTTCTACTATCCATTTATTATTATATCACCTAAAATTTTAATCTTTATTCATCACCTTATTATATTATCATCTTATTTTAATCATTTTACTTTCGATATTTCTAATAATTTTCTTTCAAATTTATTTAAACTTTTTACTTTTCTTATTATTCATTCAACAAACCTATTTTTCTTCAAGGAAAATTTAATTACGTATAAATTCTTTTTACCATTGTTTCAATTTTACTATTATTCAAATACAATCTCAAAATATATTTATTATTAAAAATACACAAATCAAAATAAATTAATTATTGCAATATAAATGAAAATTTTTAATGTATAAATTTTCTTAATTTTAATCAGTATTTTCAAATTTATACAAAAACTAAAAAATTTATAGAATAGTTTTGAACTAAATAACATTAATAAATTATTTTAAGATGATTATTTGCACTCTTTTTAAGAATCATATAATGAATGATGTTATTATCTTTGAAATATGTGGATATATCTATCATAATTATTGCTTGAGTCGATGCTTCTCATAAAATTATATTAAATAATGTATGAATTATTATAATAAAATAGACTTTAATAATATTAGATTTTAAATTGATTAATTAGATTAAATTTAAATTGTTATCAATACTTTTTGGTATTTATGAATTCATGTAATTTATTAATAGTTTTCGAAAAAAAAGAATAAATAATAGAGGAGTTAATTAAGAATTATAAATATCTTTAATTAGATTAATACATTAATAATAAATTATAAGATACGAAAATGGATAAGAAAATCTGAAAATAAAAATGCAGAGAATAAAGAAAAAAGTACTTTAGATGAAAAAGATTTTTTTTATATTTTTAACATGAATAAGCATAATGGAATTAAAAATAATAAGCTGAATATTAAAGTATGTTAGATCAAATAATCAAATATATCTTAATTTCAAAGATTACTTTAATAATTAATTAAAAATATTTGTAAAGTGAAAGATAGATTTAATTCGACATTGATATTAATGATATTCGTTCTATCAAAAATTAAGATCCAAATTCTTATAATTGGAAATAAACTAGAAATATTAAAATTTATAACTAGATTAAGATTATGCTTCTGTAATCGAGAATTTATCATAATGTTACAAAAATTGAATAAAAAAATGAATATTATATTCAAAAATGTCAGTATATTAATTTCGGGGAAATTTATAAAATTTAATAAATTTAAGCGATGAAATAAATCTTAATAGTATTAGTAATAGAGAGACTTATCCTTTTGAATAATAAAGTAATTTAATTGGATAAATTGATTAACTGGGAAAGTGCAGTTATTTAAGGTTTAAAATTTGATTTTGTGATTTATTTTTTAAGATATTTATTATCACTAGAATGACTATTAAAGTAAAATAAATTAGAATTTCCAAAATTTAACATAGAAGAAGTAGTAAAAAAAGAAGATGAGAAGTTTAGAGGAGTAATTAGAAATATCAGAGAATCGATTGATATGTAAATGAAGATAATAATAATAGGATATAAGAGTGGCCTCCTTAACTGAATATTTAAAATTCAAATGAAAGATTTAAACTATTTCTAGGTTTTCTTAATATTTTTAGATAGAATGTTATGGAAAATAATTAGAAAGAATAATAAAATGATAATTTAGGTGAAAATTCATCATCTAAGTAATATTTTTTGATAAGCTTATGAAATGTTTAAATATTTAATTAGATTTAGAAATATTATTTAAATGAATATTAAGAAATAATAATATATTATTAATTAATAGATAGATTATAGTAAAATGATTAAAATATAAGAATATTGAATAATATATTTCAATAATGTCAATTTTATTCCTTACTGTATTTTTTAATGCTTTCTTCTAAAGCACTTTTGCAACCACAATCTCCTCCCCATCTTTAATGTATTTCACTACAATTAAAAATTGGCTAATAATATATAATTGTAAGTATATACTTTTTGTAATCTTTCATTAACAACATTGTGTAACATACAAAGATATGACATAAAATCGACTCTAGTAGTTCCATCAAAAGGTAAAACGGTAGTCATATTTAGAAAATGTCCAGCACACTCTTTGCAAGGAAAGAACTGGCCACTAATATGTAAATAATAGTATTATCTTTTTACAATAGATTCAAAAAGACATTGATTTTGAATGTAAATTCTTCATCAAAATCAACAGGAAGAGTAGCAGAAATCATATGTAAAAGAGTCCATCCAGCATGACCTAATTCTTCTCTTGTAATTCCATTAGTAAATTTCTTTTCTATCATATATATATTTAAAAAGTATAACCTTCAATTAAATCAGTTTCATTTTAATCTAATATTTTTAAATGCTCTTCATCTATCTTTTTAATTTCCCAAGGTAAAGGAACTTGAACAGCAATCAAATCAGTAGCTTTAATGAATTAAACTTCTTAAGTCTATTAGGATGTTTAATCAAATTAATGGATTGTATTAAGAAGGAACAGAGTAATAAAAAAGAGTGAGACACCAACAATCACTATATAAGGTTTTTACATTAAATAAAATAAAAATATATAAAAATGGAATACCCAGATGGGTACCTATTACGTAAGAATAAAAACTAAGTAAGCTCTGTTTTCTTGGGACCCTTAACGTACTAGTACTAAATTGAAATTGTGCCAAGACTAATTATAAGTGATAGCTACAGATGGATCTGGATTTAAAAGTGCTATTGGTGATTAGGTATTAAGATTATTATTTTAAGGAATTCACTCCAGGTTATAAATATTACTATGAGATTAAAATCTTGAAAGGCAGTTTAATTAAGATTGGCGTATGCACCAAAAATGGGTTGTTCTAAGATGTAAACTCAATGCTCCACCTAAGCAAGCTTTCAGTGATAATGAAGAAGGATGGGCAATCTATAATGGTGAACTGAGACACAATTCGAATTCCAGTGGCAATAAGTATGGCAAATAATACAAGAAAGGTGATATTATTGGAGTTATGCTTAATATGATTGATGTACAAAATATCTAATTCAACTTTTAAAGGGTTAATTATCTTTTTCTATTAATGGTGAGAATCAAGGAATTGCCTTTGAATCCAAAGAACTTAAAGAAATTCCACTTTATGCTGCCATTGCTCCTATCTATAAAGAAGATGGTATCGAATTGCTTATGGCTGTCAGAGAAGATTGATTCTTAATTAAATTAATCATTATTTCTTTAAAATTCCATCGTTTATTATTTCTACACTCACTTTTTCTCTTTTAATTTCTTTCCATTTTTTATAAATTACTTCGAAATCACTTGTTTTTAATATATTTTAATGATTTATTATAATTTCATCTTCCTTATGGATATTAATCTAAAATTAATCTTAATTTTACAATAACTAAATGCTTATTATTTATTTTGATAGTTAATTTTAAATGCATCTATATCAGCTTAAGATGTCTATAACTAATTATATTACACTTAATGATTCCCTATTGGAATCTATTTCTATATCTCTAATTCCTCTTTCTCTTTTTTCAAATCCAACATTCCCAAAAGATCAATTGGATTATTATTTTTTTATTTTTATTCTGATCCACTAATAAAATCACCAAAGACGAAATCTTCTTATTTTTTTTATTAAACATTTTACTAATTATAGTTTTATTATTATTATTAGTTTATTTAAAAGTTATACTATTAATTATTCATATTATTTTATTATTATTAGTTATAATTAGTCTATAAAGATGACTGATAACTTAATTAATTAGTATTTTGATTTCCTACTTAATTTTAAAACTATTAATAAAATTATTCGTGTTATTATTAATATAATTATTATGGTTATTAAATTTGCTATTCTTATGTCTGTTTTAGTTATTATGTAATTTAATTCATTTATGTTTATTATACAGTTTATTATTATATTTATTAGTTAAATATATCTGTAGGTAAATAGAGAGGAAATTATGCTTATTACAATGGAAAATCTTAAGTTTTAACATTTTCGAAAGAACCCCAATCATTATCAAACGATTTTTAAGGTGCTGCAGTTTATAGAGATTAATTATGTTGAGTTTATTAGTTTTATGCTAAATTTTATTGGTTTCCACTATCAAAAATATCAAATATATTTTATTTTTATGGTTATATTTATTATTCTGTACTTTATTTTTACTATTAAAGTTGCTAAGATTATTATGATATTTATTTTGGTCCTGGAACATCCCATTTTTCACCTGGTTTAATAAGTTTATTAACAGGTTCCTGGAATGGTGCTTATAATATTTCTGATTAAGTTTAAGGTACAGTCCATTATATTGAATGATTATTATTATTGTTTTCTTAAATACTACTATTTTTATTATTATTAGTCTCTGATTTTTTATATTTATCTAAGCCACTTGCATCCCAAATTCCATACTTTTATTCTAAATAGGATAATATATAATATTTACAATAGGCTTAATAATCAGATTTTGTTGTATTATTTTATTCATTAAGATTATTTTGATTAGTCTCATTTTTTGAATAATCATTTCCATATCCTTTATTGAATTCATTCTTAAATGTATCTCTTCCATAACCTTAGTAGTTAGTATTACTTCCAATTGCACCAATTCCTCCTGCAGCTTGTATTTATTTAATTTAATTAACATACCTGCCAAACGTTCACGAATCTTTTTAGCCTTTTCTCTTTCTTCTTCAATCAATTTTTCATTACAAAGTAAATCAACAAGTTATTTACTTTTTTCTCTAACTAAAATAATAACTTCATTTTTACTTGATAATCCTTTATCAGATCCTTGTTCAACCATTATGAAATCTGAAAAACTTCTAATTTTAAATATGCAATCTCTAAATTCTCCAACACAACGAGGAGCTCCATTTTTTGTTAAATAATCAATCATATTGAGTGTCTAATTATTTAATTCTCCATACTTTCATAATTCTACGCCATTCACGATTATCAGAATCTAACCGCTTCCAAATAAATTTCATAATTGTATCGCATTATGTACTAAAATTTAATTAGCTTATTTTGTACAATTGATAAGATGCTTCAGAAATTTCTTAGAACAATTTTGTTGGTGTGTTCCAATTTTCATTTGAAGTAGCTTCAATTAAAATATCAGTTAAAGGAGGCTTTGTTAATTTATCTTTTCTAAATTTTTGATTTTAACAATTAGTACATTTAGAGAGCAGCTTCTTTGATGGCTTAGAAATTCATTAAATAAATTTATGTTATCAAATCCAATACCATTATCAAAATAAAGAGGTATATCGTAACCTAGTCGAGGACAGTTCATTAAAGTTTTATTTAAGAAGAGAAGGCTAGACAAATAGATAAGGAAAACCAATTACTATTTAAAAAATACTTGGTATTACAATGAAATTAAGAAACTGTTCAACAAATCCTATAAAAAACACATTAAATTATAAGAATGGAAAAGATTTTCAATAGAAGATAATAGATGAAAACTAAAATTTATTTGGTAGTGTTTTTCGGTATGACTTTAAAATTTAATTTAACATATATAAATTTCAGATAAGATCACTATAAAAGGAATTCAATTAATAGAGACTCATGGTGATTTTGGGTGATTAATAAATATAAATCAATTTTGTTCATCACTTTCTGTTTCCCATTCATCATTTTCATAATTTTCAGGACCAGTAATTGGTCTGAAATACTCTCTATCTCCTCTTTAATGTAATTCTTCCTACATTTCTTCATACATTTATTCATATATTTGTTTATCTAATTCATCTTCTTCATAATGAGAATCTTCATCAACCCATGATAATTGTTCTTCTTTATTGAAATGCAAATTTCCAAATTCATCTAAATGACATTAAGTTTTCAATTGAATTTTTTTCATTTATTCTTATTCTACGTTTAAATCAGGATGAGAATCATCTTTATAAATGAGATCAGCCATAGTTCTATATTAAAAATTAGCAAGAATTTCTTAAGCTTATTCTATAGATAGTTAGCTTTATGGTTTTTGGATATTTTTTATTGGTTTTTATTAATCTCTTCGAAACCACTTGAACATTAAAATTATTTTAAGGTTAAGAATTATTAAAATTTTATAATATGTAGTAATGCAATAGATCATAAAAAATAGCTATCTGTACAGTTGGTTTACCAGCAAGAGGAAAAACATATATATCTAGAAAATTGAATCGTTATTTTAATTGGTTAGGCTATAAAAGTAGAGTATTTATAAATGGAAATTACAGAAGAGAAATATGCGGTACTGAGTGCAATTCTTAATTTTTTGATCCTCAAAATGAAGAAGTAATATAGAAGAAAATAAAATTAGGCTTAAAAAGCAAGAAGTGATTGTGCAAAAATGGCATTATAAGATTTAATATAATTTCTTTAGAATGGAGGAGATGTAGGAATATTGGATGGAACAAACATAACAAAAGAAAGAAGACATTAGATTGAAAATGATCTAAAATCTTCATTTAATGGAATTTAAACTCTGTGGATTGAATCCATCTGTAATGATTCTAAAGTGATTTAAAATAACATTCGATTGACCAAGATTAATAATCCAGATTATTGTAATGTGAACCCTGAATAAGCTACAATTGATTTCCTAAATAGAATTAAGATGTACGAGTAGATCTATCAAACTATAACCGACGATGAGAATCTCTCATATATCAAAACGATGAACGTCGGAGCAGACGTACTAAACATGTTTCCATGCTTAGATTATTGTTCATTAAGTCTATGGTTTTCTGTTGTCCAAAATTGTATCCTTTATCATGAATCTTCATACCTATCCAAGACCAATCTACTTATCGAGACATGGAGAGAGCCAGTATAATGTGGATGATAGAGTTGGAGGTGATTCTGATTTATCTGAATTAGGAGAGATGTATGCAGAAAAATTAGCTGATTTTTTCTATTCAGAATTTCCTACTAAGGAAATTAAAAATTAAATCATATTCTTTACATCCACTATGAGAAGAGCAGTCCATACCTCTGATGTTGTAGCTTAAAAATTAGAAATTTAACCATTATAACTAAAGACATTAGATGAAATTAATGTAGGTATTTGTGATGGAATGACTTATACTGAAATTGCATAAAAGTTCCCTAATGACTTTTAAGTAATCATTTTTTATAATAAATATTTAATAGGAGAGAAAAATTAATAAATTAGGATACAGATATCCAAGAGGGGAATCATATTTAGATTTAATAAGTAGAATAGAGCCAGTTATATTTGAGATTGAACGGTCGAGATAACCAGTGATGATAATTGCTCATTAAGCAATTTTAAGATGTCTATATGCTTATTTTCATCAAAATGAGATACCAGAAGTACCTACTTTAGATATACCGTTACATTGTGTAATAAAACTGACTCCTGCTGCATACTTTTGTGATGAAAAACGTGTATTGATTAACCCTTAGACAGGTGAAATATCAATAAAGGAAGAATATGTATAAGAATTTGTAAGATCAAAAAGTAAATAGAAGAGCTTTATTGATTTATGATTATATTAATGAAATGTTAATGGAGGTGATCATTAATAATAATATAATTTATTTATATTATAATGATTGAAAATAAATATTCGTTTTTCAATTTTTAGCACAAAATAATGATCAGATGTATATCAATAATAATAACATTAAATGTTAAAACTAACTCTTTGTGTATTGTTAGTGCTTGGTGCAACAGCAATCAATGTCTAATCCTCTATCTGGACTAACCGTGACTAAAAGGCTCTTGCTTAAATTCACTCATCTGGTTGGGGAAAGTTCATTTTGAATTATGCTGAACTCCATATGACAACAGGAGGTATTCTTTCTGAACTTAACAGCGAAATTGAAAAACTCGTAAAACTATTTATTTAATAATAAAGGTTGGCGAATTAGAAGAAGAATTAGCTGGAGTCCATCACGAATTTAACAGAAGAACAGATGTTCATCATAGAGAAGTAACTAGACTTGAATAAGAAATCTAAGACAAAGAAAGAGGTATCGATATTTAGTAATTATTTTTAGAACTCTTCAATGCTCATGATTTCTATGATAATGTTCTTATCCCATAAAGAGATAGATTTGCTGCTTAACTTGAATAATTATAAGAAAATATTGCCCATAATAGATAAACTCTTGAATAAGCAACAGTCTAAAGAGCAAATGATCATGAGGTCTTTGAAGCTTAAGTTGCTGAACATAACGATGCTATTAGTGCTATTGATGAATGTCTTTAATTGTTAAGCACACTTGAAACACCATCTCTTGCTCAAATCAAGAAAGTATAAAAGAACCTTAGCAAAATCTAAAACTCATTGAAAAAGCACAACTAATTCTAAATCTTTGTTAAAGTACTTTTAGAAATCACTGTTGAATCTAATTTTGCTGATTAAGGTGCTCTTAGAGATGTAACTTATTTTTATATCTATTTTAGATTGTTGTTGCTTTCAATGATTTAAGAGTAGAATTAGTTGATTCACTCAATTAACTTACAGCTGATGAAGCTTAAGATGTTGCTGATTATAATGCTTAAGTTATATAATTGAATTAAGAACATGCTGAATTCTAAAGAGCTGTTGTTGTAAAGAATGCTGAAATTGAAGCTAATGCAAGTATTATCAACATATCTAATCAATTTAGCCAAGATTGAATAAACACTTGAACTTATCGATGAACTCGATGCTGATTTAGCAACACTCAATGGATAATTATAAGCTGAAAATGATGACTATGCTTTCGCCACTGATGTCTACAATTCTACAGTTGCAGAATATAATAAAGAAATCAATGCTGCTAACCAAGCCTTAGAATTGCTCAACTAACCAAGATTTTAAGATTATGTTAAATCTTAACTCAAAGGAGCATGATCTATTCAATAATATCAATCAAAAGTTATCACCATTCTATCAAATCTTTATTTACTTTTATTCTTTTTCATTTTCTTATCTTAAAACACGTCTTATACTTAATTATTTCATTTAATTTTTTTTTTCACTCGTTTAACAAAAATAGTTATTAAATACCTACTTATATTCTTTATTTCTTATATCTCCATATTTAAGTTTACATTTCTTTACAATTCTTCATGAACTTAATTTAGCATTTATAAAGAATAAATACTCATTTGAAGAGAAGATTTTATAAATTAACACAAATATATTATTTCATTATTTCAAACATTTCATTGTAATGCTACTAATAAATTTTATCAAAATGAAACTTAACATTCATGAAAATTATGAATAAATATTTTGGCAAAGAATAGCATGATAATGAAAATTTTATAATTAAAAATAGTAACCCTCATGCTAGTTTTTGTATTTTACGGTTGATCTTTTTACATAAAAACCATTTTTTTCCATCTGTAATATCCCTAAAAAAAGTTAGAATTAATAAAAAATAGATATGTGTCTGTTTAATTATAAATTAAAATGGCAAATTTATCAAATAATTGATTTCTGTGAAAAACTATATTAAACTTATTATTTTATTTTCGATTATATGATAATTGTATTTCATTATTTAATTAGAATCTATTTAAGAGAAAAAATGCGAATATGAAGTATCATTTATGATCTTATGCTTTCAAAGTATCAACTTAATTTCATATTTCATATCCTAATTTTTATGAAAGCTGTATTATGAAAACTATTTTTTTTAGCTAGATATGAATATAGACAAAAATAAAAGTGAGTAATTAGTTTAATACAGAGAGAAATTAGATATTATAACAATTTATAGAAAATCATTTATAAATAGAATGTGAATCAGTAGTATCGAACAATGAAGTCTCTTTTTAGTAATTAGATTTATAAAATAGACACAAATGTATTAGAAGATATTTAAATCTTTTTTACAATTTTATGTAATAAAGAAAAAAATTAATTTATAAAATCTTACTCTTTCTTAGAATTTTTATTTTCAATACAAAAATTAAGTTATAAGAAGCCTCCATCCCTGTTTTATTTTGACAATTAGATAAAATGAATTGAGAAGTAAAAGATTTATCGTCTTTTTAAATAAAGAGAGAATAGCAAAAATTTAAAGTGGATTCATTATGAAATTTAATTTGTTAATTAAGCGTAAATTGATTCGTAATTAAAATATTATATCTATAAGCAAAAAAAAACCTACCTTTTAATTAAATAAAATAATTCGAAATATTGTTGAAGTTGGTAATAACTAAATATATCTAACATTTTTTATTAATAATGATGAATTTTTTAAAATGTAGGATTATTTTTAGAATAAAGGTCTGAATATAGACTACTTAAAAAATCTAAAAATTTCTGAAATATCCATAATTTGTCAATTAATAATATTATTTTCAGGAAATAATATTTTATACTTTAATTGTCTTGTTAAAATGTAATCAGTTACAAAATAAAGAAAGTTTGACATTATTAATAAATTAAAAATAGCAAATTTTAAATAATCTATATGAGTAAGGAAGAATACTTTGTCATTTTTTGACAGTAAACTAAATTACTTTAAATAAGAAAATTTTTTAATTTAAATTTTAAACATTTTTCTAATTTTTACGGTATTTTCTCATCCAATCTATGAAATTTATAATATTTAAGTTAAATATTTAATTGAGAAAAACACAAAGTTGAACGTTGTTTATAAGGTTCAACTAATAATACTGATTGTTTTTCTATATAATTTAAGTAACTCATAAATTAATTTATATTAAACTCATTTAATATATGGAAAAATGTATTTAAATTCAAATATTTGTATTTTTTATTAAACGCATACTAATTATGATTTAAATATAATGAAATATATAATAATCTTGCATATACTGGTTGTTAATTAGCAGATCTTTAAGCTCAGCTTTTTTCTTTAAACAGATAAATTAAGCTAATATAAAGGACAATATATAATATATTAAAATGACTAAGATATCTATAATTAAAGAATCTCATTAAATTTAATTGAATTTAAATTTTCTTAATGTAAATTCATTGAACTATTCATTAATTTTTACACAATAATAACAAGTCTTATTTTTAATAAATGTCATCTAAGTAAAAAGCTAACACTTAACAAGCAAGCGATCAGGATTAAACTAAAAAATGAGGAAGAGTCTGATTAATTTTTTGGATTAATTAATGAGGCCATATCCCAAAAGCGACCTAGATCGAATAGTAGATAAAATAAACCTAAAAAACTTTCAAAAAGGTATATATCAAATATGAGTTTCTGAGGGAGTAAAAGACATAAAATAATTATATAACATCTATAAAAGAAATTTAATTGAATAAAAATCAGAATGAAAGCTATTGTGAAGGAATAGATGAAGACATCATAATTAATCGATCAGTTCTCAATTTCGATGTAAAGATTAAATTAAAAATAGCTTATTGATGCTATAGAATTTGAAAATAGTAATTGCCGAAAATAAGAACATTATAAAGTTTATAAATCTTTTGAAGGTATGATTAATGAGGAATAAAATAACTCTGTTTACTATAAGAACAACCAAAAAAGTCAAGAAAATATAAGAGATAATTAAACTGAATTTTTAAAGTCATAAGGATTATTAGAAATTCTAAATGAATACAATGTTGAATCAAAAAAGAATATTCATGATGATAATTATAATTTGATATTGATAAATTCTCAAGGAATAGAAGCTATATTGAATAACTTCCATAATTATTTTGACCCATATCCCTTTTTGAAATTAAGAAAATATATTGTTCTTTTATTGGAGATTTTATCCTAAATTTGTTATAATATCATATCAAGTAAAATTTATCGATATGTGATGCTTGTATTAATAACTATCAATATAATATTTTTAATAACTAAATATTATAGTAATCTTTATGAATTATATTAATCATTTTTTGATTCATAATAATAAGGTAATAATAACAACTAATTTAGTATTTTTTATAATATATGTTCTTGAAATCAGTATTCGAATAGTTGGACATAATATAATTAATTTTTGTTGTGAATTTTGGAATATCTTTGATTTATTAAATGTAGTGATTTTAGGTTTGGTGACATATGGACTAATATCTTTTGATTTTTCACCATTAAGAGCAATAAGAGTATTAATTTTTTTAAGTTAATTATCTTCATAATTGTAATTAACTTTCAAAGCCTTAATTTAATCTTTTTAATATATGTTAGAAGCTTTATTAATTGTATTAATATTTTGTGTTTTCTTTGCTAATGTTGGTCATCATTAATTTGCAACATCATTTTACAATAGATGTGTTTACTTAGAATATGGATATGTATTAACTGATTAATATTGTGGATGGCTTGATTGTCCAGATAATTCATAATGTATAAACATTCCTATTATTTTTGCTCCAGATCCCATAACTAACTTTAATAATTTTATTAATTCTTTCATTTCTATAATAAGAATTATAACAATGGATAATTGGACTGATTTAATGTATCCTACTCTTTATACATTAAGTCCATTGACTTGGATTTACTTTGTATTTGTTATATTCATAGTTGGGTTTTTTGCATTTAATTTAATTATTGCCATATTGAAAACATATTATTCTCATATAGTCTCAGGATATTCTTAAGATTAAGAAAATATTAAAAAAGGATAAATAGAACAAATAAAAATAAATTTGAGATTTATTAAAAATTTAGGACTTTATCAAAAATTAAAAGTACTTTAAAAAGCTAAGTTACATTCATAATAACAAGATTATTCTTAATTCAGCAACTAATCAACAATTAAATAACCTTTCTTATAATAATAGACTGTTAATTCATCAATCATATCTCCTTAAGTTTAAGCAAGAATTGTTGCTAAAAGTACTGCTAAAAAAATACAAAGATTTGTCAAAAAACAAATAGAATAAACACAAAAAAAAAAATAATATGCTCATTTTCTTTCAGCCAGGCAAAGAAAAGAAATGGAAGAATTGAATAATCAAAAAAAAAATAATTTTATAGGGAAAATTAAATCTTCTTGTACTTTAAGATATATAATTTTACCTAAAAGATCATTAATTTTAGAATAGACACTTTAATTTTAAAATTAAAATGATGACGAAATGGAAATTTTACATTAATTATAGACACATGATGTATTAGGTTGGAAAGTATAAATTGTATTTAAAGATTATGTTTCAAACTCATAAGGAGAAGTTTTAGGATAAAAACAAGAATATTTATTAAAAGAAAAAAAATTAATTTCTGAATTGTAAAAAATTAGATCCAAAAAAATTAATTAATTCTATTTTGATAATGAAAATTTAAAATAATTCTATTACAATTGTAAAAAAAAGATTAGAAATACTTCTTTACCTATAAATAAAACAAATAGAAAAATTTAATTTCAAACTTAAACATTTGAAGAATTAAGAGATGATGAAATATAAATTTCATCTCCCAAAAGATAATCATCAAGTTTTGAAAGGAAATTTAAATTTCCAAGAAAAACTATATAATCACTAAAACAATAAAAAAGTGATTTTTTTTTTGAATTTCCAGAGTATTAGGAAGGGGAGGCTTTTATAGTTTTAAATGGCGATAAAAGGAATTACGCGTCTGTATCTATCTTAATCAATAGAACATTAGAAAATGAATAAATAATTACAGATACAGAAGATTTAAATAGTTTATTTTTTCAATATTTGAAATATCGTGTAATTATTTAATTTTTATTAATAGAGAATGGAAATAAAGGAAAATGTAATATATAAAAAAAATATTTCATTTTTTGATGTGTTAAAAAATAAAAAATTAAATTTAATATCTATTTTTAGATCCTTAAACTCTAAAGAGACTCATATTTGGATGATAGGATTTACTGGTTTATGGAAGTCTTTCTAATTAAAAATTAAAATGTTAATAAATAATAGTTTAATAAATTTAATTTTTGACTTTTCAAATTTGGTAAGTTTTTGTGTATTATGTTCTATTGGATTTTTAGAAGAAAAAGTAATAGAATAAATAAATTTTTCTATGACCATTCAATTAATTATTCAAATAATTTTGAAGTTAATAAGTTAAGGCATAAGTATATAAAATAAACTATTATTAAGTTTTATTTGGAAGTGAAGGGGAAAATATATTGGACTCTCTCATAATAATAACTTAAATTATTTATAGCATTATGACATCTATGGATATTCCATTAAAAGAAAATTTTGCAAGTGAATTAAAGACTCTCAGAGCATCAAATGCTATATTATTATATAGGATTATTAAATATAATTAATTTGTGACCAGAATTATGAGAATTGCTAGGATAACATTTAAAAAGTAGAAATAATATTTGTATCAATAGATATTTAAGTTTAATGTTTTTAATGTTATCAATTATATTGATATTTTCAATTTTGGGAATGCAATTTTTTATTGAAAATTTTAAAGAGAATGAAAGTTTATCATAATTACATTCTTTTAAAAGTTTTGCTAAATCTTGGATGACTATATTTAATATAAGTACAAATGATGATGCAGTTGGTATGTTAAAAGTAGTAATAAAATTTTAAAAACCTTGGATAGGAATACTTTTTTATTTGATAACTGTATTTACGATTAATTATCTAATTTATGGACTTGTTATGGCAGTATTATTAGATGCTTTTTCTTCTGAATTAGAAAGAGTAGTAGAAAATTAATAAGATCAGTCTTTATTTTTAGCAAAAAAAGTAGGGATATAAGAAAACATTTAATTAAATTGTCAGTAAGAAATGTTGACTGAAATTTAAGAAAATTAGTAATAGAAATGTTATAAATTTTAGAGCTTAAGAATCAAGTACTTAACCAACTAAATCTCATTCATCTAAACGTCGTACAAAAATTAATATAAGAGATTTACCAGAGACTTCTTAAAAGTTATTTATGAAAAAGAGAAAAAGATAAAGTAAAGTTAATTGATTTATGTTAGAGTTTGTTTATTATGAAGATACTAAATGTGCAGAATCATGCTTTATGTTTTCTTATAATAATAGATTTAGAAAAATATGTTATAGAGTTTGTAGAAGTTTACCATTTAAAATTATAAATGATGTTACAATAATTATTTCTGTAGTATTTTAAATCTTAGCTCATTTTCAATTATCAAAGAAGTATTTATTACTTGGATCAAATATGGATAGTTATTTAGAGACTAATTTATTTATTTAGAATTTTATTATTTTAGTAATATTTATTATTGAAATAATTGCAAAAGGATTTATTTTAAATGAAGGAACAATTTTAAGAGATTTTTGGAAGCTTGTTAATATGACATATACAACTTCTTATTTTTTAAGTTTTATTAGTTAAGCACCTATTTTAAAAGTAGCACTAAATTTAAGTAAAATATTATATAACTTAGTATTTTGTAGACCATTAATGATGGTTAATATGTTTGATAGTGTTTAAGGAGTAAAGAATGCAATGGTGAAGAGTTTATATTAAATAATTAATATAGTTGCAGTAATTTTATTGGTTTTTATGGTTTTTAATGTATTTGCAATGCATTTATATTAAAATAAAATGGGATATTGTGATAATTTAATGAATTTTGATATTAGTTACTCTGAATGTTAAAGGGAAAATAAATAATGGATTAATCATCCTTATAATTTTGATAATTTAATAAATGGACTATTTACTTTAACTATGATATCTTCATTAGATGCCTGGGGTGAAATAATGTAAGTTTGCTATAATGCAAGTAATTTAAATGCTGGTCCTTCTCCTTTTGCAATTTAATGGGCTACATATTTATTATTTGTTTCATTTATTTTTATAGGTGCAATGTTTTTTATGGGTTTTTTAACTGGTGTTTTATTTACAGAATTTTAAAAGTTTACTAAAAAAATTGAGAATAAAAATTTAACTTAAGATTAATCTTAATTTATTTAAATCTGTTCAATAGTAATAGAATAAAAACCTAACTATTCTCATACTCCTCATTCAAAAATAAGGAAATTAGCATATAAGATAGTATTCAGTTAAATGTAAAATATTAATTATTATTGTTAGTTATAAATATTTTTATAATTGTATATTGGTGACAAATAGTATTGTATTATGTTTTTTATTTGATATAAGAACAGTATATACTAGAAATTTGGCTAATGATTTATATTAATTACATGCAGTGGTATTTGCAATAGATTGTATAATAAAGATTTTGGCATATGGAGTCACAAGATATTTAGCTTCTTCTTGGAGGTTAATAGAATTAATAATAACAATAATATCATTGGCAGATTTTTCATATGATTTAAAAAATAAATGGTTTCATCATTTTACAAATGGATCATAAGAGGAAATAATAATATATTTTGCAAGAATATTCTTAATCTTTAGAGATATTAAGATTCTATTGATATTTCAAGAGTTTAAAGGGCTTTAAAGGCTAATGCGAGTCTTATTCTTTTCATCTTCTTTACTAGTGAAAATATTATACATTTAAATAACTATATAAGCAACATATGCTTTAATAGGTACTAGGTTATTTGGCCATATAACAAAAGTATGTAAATATTAATAGATTAGGGTTCAGCAATTGATGAATATTATCTTAATTTTCGTAATTTCATTAATTCTGCTTTGGTTTTATTTAAATGCACAACAGGAGATGATTGGAGAGCATTAATAATTGATTGTTCTAGATCCAATATATATTGTCATTAAGATTCATAATAATGTGGTTCTGGTTGGGCTTATTTATACTTTTTATCATATTATTTACTATCAAATATAATAGTTATGAATTTATTTGTTTTAGCTTTAGTTGATTAATTTGAAAGTATTATAATTATCAGTAAATATCATAGGTTTTTTTAGCACAACAACAAATGTAATCTAAACATTTGTTGAAAACATAGATCATTTTTGTAATTGTTGGTGTCGATATACTTATGATACTAAAGGATAGAAAATGCATACAAGATATATAGGCAGATTTTTATTAGATTTAAATTAGCCTCTTGGTGCTTAAAAGGGAGATAATATTTGGGATGCTGCAAAAGATGCATTTCATTTTAGAATTAGAGCGTAATTTATTATTATTATTCTATTTAGAGATAAAAGAAGTTACGTTAATTTTAATGAATTATTATATGAAACTTTAAGATATGCCTTTTTAGAAAAAGTATTTAAAGAAGGATCATAAGCAGGAAGAACTGAAATGAAATTATTTGATATGGCAATGAAAAGAAAATTAAATTATAAAACTAAAGAAAATCAAACGGATTTTGAATTTAAAGGTGATATAAGATAATTGGATTCAATAGATAGTTCATTTAATTTTAAATACTCTTATTAAAACTTTAACATTTTGTAAGAGTATTTACATTTGCTTATCATTTTTAAAACATGGAAATCATACTCTAAGAATCTATTTGAAAAATCGAAAAGAGGACTCTAGAATTTTACTGAGTAATCAAGTGATGATCAATATGATTATATGTAATCATACAGTTTACATACTAAAGATGGATTGTAGGGATAATCTGAAGAGAAACTTTATGCCTCATAAGCTATTGATGAATAAAATAAATAGGAAATATTATAGAATTTCATAGAGTCGAACAAATATAGATTAACAAATTATAATTCATAAAATAGTTCAACTTTTCATGGTGTTATTTATTAACCTGCAGTAACCAATAATAATCATTTGAACAGAATGTAATCCACATGTTTAGAAGCATATAATCAAGCTAATTATAGATCTATTTTAAAAAAGAAATGTTAAACATTAACATTGAATGATATCCGCAATTGTTAGAACAATAAAAAGTCTAATCAAAATTAATTAACCTGATCTCAACTTTAAGATTAATTCAATTATTAATAAATAATCAGTAAAAATTATTTTAATATGCCTTTGCTTATCTGACAATATTCTTTTCTTTTAATCATTAATGATAAATTTATTATTTTTCGTTTATTTTTGAAGTATTTTCTTATTATATAAAATATAAATTTGTTTTCAAGATGGACACAGAAGAAGAATGCTTTTCTGGAGATGAAATTGATCAATTTAATTGTCCTAAACATTAATTAATTTATACAAGTAAACTATAACCTTTTATTAATTCATTAGATTACTGTACAACTACATAATAATTATTATGCTAAGAATGTATGATCAAATGTAGCTTAAAAGTTCAAAATATTATTTCAATTGAAAAAGTAAAACACATACTAGAATTTAGGCTCTGAATAACATAAGTTAATAAAATAAATAACAATTACAGAAAGTTTAAAAAATCATTAAAAACTACAATAATCTTGATGATTAAATTTAAAAAGAAAATAATCAGATTAATAAAATGTCATAAGTTCAAATTTAATCATTAAATTCCATTTGCACTTAAATAATAGAAAGTGTATAATTGAAATTTTAAGAACTAATTGAATAAGTTGAAGTACATAAAATGAAACACTTACAATCTTTATAAGATTCAAAAGTACAACTAATTATAAATATAAAAGTGTATAATAGATGAATATAAGGCAAGAGGAATTTAATTAGAAAAGAATATTGTTAATTAATAAAATACATCTGGATATGAGTAATTAAAAAAGTTTAGAGAATATTATACAATAAATTGTAAGACAATTAAAGAACTTGAAAATGAATACGATAATTTATCACAAGCACCTAAAATTTAATATTAGTAATTATAAATTAGAAATACAACTGATATAGTTAAATAGATTTCAAATATGATGAATATATTAGAAAGAGATTCAGATTCTAGAATAAAAAGAATATCATCCAAATTATTTTAATAACCAAATACTTCAAGAGCAAGTCCATTTTCTAAAAAAGGCTTTACTTAACATAGTTCACCTCATTTTAGTTTACAATCATCAAAATAATAAATGAGAAAGACAGAAGTAAAGTAAATCACTTTAGATATACCAACAGATTTAAGTTCAATTTTAGATAAAGCATCTCCTGAATAATCAATTATTAATGATTTTTTTAGTAATAAATAATCATTAAGTGAACATTCAATTTCAAAATTGGAAATACCAATTTAAAATTAAACATAATTTTATATTATTGGTGGATTATTGAAAGGTTAAAGATAAAATCTAATTGAAATTGTTGATATATAATTAAGACAATCTAGTTAGCATGATTTTTTAGTTTCAAATCGTTATGGATTTTAAATTGCATATCATGGAAATTAAATTTTATTGATTGGAGGAAAACAAGAAGGCATAAGAACTGCCTTATGTGAATCATATGATCCAAATTTAAAATAATCTAAAATATCTTAATTAATACTTACAAAAGGAGTCAGTGGATTGGCATCAAAATAAATAGGAAATAAATTATATATTTCAGGAGGTAAAACAGATTAAGGAGTTTAAGATATATTTTAACTTATAAATTTGGATACCTATTAAACAAAAAATCTATTATCAGTTCCTATTAAATGTTATAATCATACATTAGTTTAAGGTAATGAACCTAATTCTATGTATATATTTGATGAATAAGGATGTTTCAAATATGATATGACAAATAATCTATGGAAAAAAATCAAATCTCCAAATTATCCAAGAAGAAGTCATGTATCTTTAACTCTTCCAGATGGAATATGGATTTTCGGAGGAAGATCTGGTAAAAAGTATATTAAATAAATTGAAAAATATGATGAAACAGATTAATAATTTTATTAAATGGGAGAATTATTATGTCCTGTTGTTAAATTTGATGCAATAGTAAGTGATGATTATTAATTTGTATATTTAGTTGGAGGAAAAACTTAAGAAAATATTCCTAGTTCAAACATTTGGAGGTATTTTTTTTATTTTATTTAAATATCAATAGATATTCCATTCTGAATAATTAATGTATCCTTTATAGTTAATTTGCAAAACCCAGATATTCTCATAAGTTGATACCTAAAAAAGTTTGATTTTAATTAATAAATTTATATTATCAACTGTTATTATTCTAATTCAAAAATAATCCTTATGCTTA